ATTTAGATTGATTTTATTACAATCTGTATGTCGTATTGTTTTGTAATTGTATTGTTATGTATTGTGTTATCATTAACTGTCATTGTCTATTTATCAATGTACTTCCTCTCTTTACAGTATGCCACTGTAACGATAGCGCAGTACGCTTTAAAAACTTCAAGCTACACTGAATAGTAGACGCAGTCTGTTAAGGTCGTATTGTATTATAATTGTTTTTTAATTGTATTACAATTGTATTGTAATTGTATTGTATTGTACTGTGTTATCGTTTTCTGTCATTGTCTATCTTACAATGTACCTCCACTATCTTTTTATCTGCATCAGTATGACACTGTAAACGTATGTTGTTTTAACTACAATTCATCAATACGTTTGGATTTTGTATTTATTGTATAACTTAATAATGTATACGCTTTTGTTTGAATTTATAAAACTTTATATATACACTCTCCGTAAATGTTGCCTTCATTGAGAATATTTTACGTATGTAACAAGTAACATGTGTAAGCATGTCTAGGTTTTTCCTAGTGATATTTGCATTTAAGAATGCTACATAAGAGTACATATGCTCTTAGACAAATATATTTTTGTTAATTTCTAATTGTGTCCACTAATCTGATAATTAGAAGTAAAATGTGAGGTTAGGGATATAATTTATGTATAAGATCATTGGCACAAAAACGCCACTCGTGGCCGATTTTTCCACTTAGGTTAAGATCCGAGTACTGTTGTTTTATATATATGAAAGGTCCTGGAGACTTAACTACTCCTTCTTCGCAGGGGAGTTTAGCTTCTGTCGCAACATTCGACTCCGATGCCGATATCCTAATTAAAGCGAAGGGGAGTGATGAGAGACGACGAAATTGAATTGTGCAAGATGCGTTAGTGCCTAGTACTGAGTGTTTTGCACCAAAAGCCCTTTTCTGGGCGGCTAATCTTACTGTACATTTAGTTTCTGACTGGGCGCCAAACAGTGACATTCTTTTGACTCAAAATTTATATCTTTGGCTACTAATCTTTGCAAATTGCATAAAGGTAAATAATCGCCACTTCATACTTCAAAAATGTCCATTTAAGGGCATGATTGATGGCATGAGGTTTGCACTTGCAGCGAAATTAGCATTTGATGCCTAAACGGTCCGATGGACCTAAACTACAGATAGACAGACAGACAAAGAGACAAACAGGATATAGCATTATTGTATGGTTACAATGATGCAATAGTTTGTTATTACAATAACAGGTGAATATTAGATTAATAGTAGAAGCTAACATTTTAGTATATATTCAACTTATATAACTGTATAAGAGTATTGTTTATTTGCAAAATACTTATTGGTTCCCACGCTGATATTTATTTCAGTATTGAGTTCCCATTCTTCGGTGTACTAAGTAAATGTTTAGTAAAGGACATGTTATACGAAATTGGAATTCACTTCAATGATTTAGTGACTTTGTATACAAAAGTAAAGTTCTCTTTTTTTTAGCCATTAACTGATGTAAAGATGTACTCTCAAGTATGAAAACAATTTCTCTAAACATTAATCCTTATAGCTGTTGCCTAATTTGTATTCTTTTTACTCTGTTGTTCATATAAAAGTTTAGATCTGAACTTATGCGTCATTGTTATCTTTATGGAATTTTTCTATAACTACACGTACCCTAATGCATATCTGTGTAGCAAACATTTACACAGAAATCCCAGTAACACCTATATCACATAGCTTTAAGTGATACGAATGTTTCTGAACGTTAAAAATTTTGTTGAATCTTGCTTTGTTAGCACATATTGTATATATATATATATGAAACACATCAAACGACACTCAATATGTTATGTAACATTGTATAGCATTGTATTGTATTGTATTGTGTTTTACTGTATTGTTGCTTTAATCTCTGCAAGCCACTATTAATGCATTCATTACATGTGACTGTTTACACTCTATCTTTCAGATCTAGTGCATGGTTATGCATCCCACTGGTTACGATTTAATTATACACAATATTTAAGCAAGTGTGCTTTATAAATATCTTATTTTTGCAATACAATTAAGAGGCGTCCAGAGGCGCTTGTATGTGGTAATAGATAAAGGCGTCCAGATGTGTTTGAATGTGGTAATAGATAAAGCCGTCATGAGGCACTTCTATGAAGAAATGGGTTAAATAAATACCAGGTTATAATTTCTAAACTTACGTTTTAATGGGTTGTTGTGCCGGACAAAGTCCTTTTCTTATCAAAATTTTGATAAAAAAATTTTCAGACACAAAATTTTGATTGTAACATAATTTTTGTATATGTAATGGAATGGTAACTTAAGTAGATTGCTTAAATTAAATAAAGAGAAAAGCAGGCATTATTTTGTGGATATTTTCTGCCAGGTACGTAACAAATATTGTAATTTGAAGTCAAGTGAAAGTAGTATACTCGCCATCGGAAAAAAACAAAACTTATGTTGTAATTGTATTTAGCAAATAATTAAGCTAATTTCGCCAATATTTTCAATAATGTTTGATCTTGTCACAAAAAATCATTTTTCAACTAAAACAGTTTTCTTTTGCAAAGTTTTAGTAACCTCTATTTCGCAGTAACGTGCCGTTTTCTATGGTCAGGTACAGTTTTTAAGGCAGTGTTTTAAGGCAGTGATTTGAGCGTGACCAATCTAAACACTGTGAGAAGTTTGAGTATATAAAAGTGTAACGAACCCCTTCTTCGAGCGTTGGCCTGTTAACTCTAAAAGGGGTGTTACGTGAGTTCGCCTGGGCCCGGCTTGTGGCGAAAATAATAGAGAATGATTAAAGAATAAAATAACGGAGGCAATTTAAGATTTAAACTATAACTTTATTAACGGTTACATAAAATAGTCACATATAACAACATTCATCAATCAGACATAAAAACAGTAACAATAAATATATTATAACGTTATTTAATCTGCATCAATAATACCAATTCACAATGCAAAACGTTATATACTGTGCACCACGGTTTTAAGAAATAAAATTCACTTATAATAATGTTCACAATTTCACTACACTCGCGAAATCACTAAATTACGCACTTTAATAAATAATCTTTATTTAGAGAATATACACGTAACACTTATCATTTTTCCGTTATTATTAACACTTCGGGTATCACGATGCCAATATCATCAAATGTATATTATTGCCCTTTATCAATCATCTTTGACTCGATAACGTGTTCGCTACCAAATTATACCAATTGGTATTTGGTATTAATGTTTATAATTATAACACTGACGTTCAAATTAATTATCGGATTATTTAAAATACATGTATAAAGATTTGCATCATCACCACTACGAATTTAAGTTTTAGGTAAAACTAGCACACAAAATCAAAGTAAAACCTCTGTTGGCATCAACTGGTATCGATACCAGATAAAATTATACCAATATTGGTATTCTATCAAATATTCACAAATATGTTCTTAATATAATTTAATATAATTCATATAGACTCTATTTATGTTGGTATATACCATACACGCTTGGTTTTAATAATTCATAAATATTTCACAAATATACCAACAAATATTATAGCACAACCGTTTATTGGTATTCGATACCAATAGGTATTTGGTATCGCGCGATTAAAATACACAGGAGATGGAGACAAGGGAAACACTTTATTTCATAAAACTTGGTTGGTATAACTTTACCTCTTCATCGCACATTTTTTTATGAATTGGTATATACCCGTTGGTATATTTTTATTTAACCCAGAGTGACCGTATGAATGCCGTTCATGTTCGACATTGTCTTGAATTTCGCGCCAGCTGCGCTTTTATATGACCTGTGACGTCATTGCTCGAGATTTAGTGGCGCGAGCTAATGGCGGTTCTGAACACGGAAGTAAATTAAAAATACACATTCTGTTGATGATTTCATGCAATATTTACTTTCATAAACACAATGTTGCACAAAAAGTAAGTTCTTCAACTTTATTTCCCGTATATATGAATATTTAAGAGTTTAATACGGTTTAGTGGAAGTATTCAGCATATTACAGAGGACTCAACATTGCCGATTTTGAACACAAAATTTCCATGAATACTCCGATAAAATATCGCGGTGCACAGTAAAACATTAATCTGAAAATGAACATACATATCATAGATAGACAACAAAATGTGATTTATTATCTAAAATTAACAAATATCAACAATAGGATGATTTAGCACATTTATGATCTGCTTTATAAAAATAGTTGGTGGGGTAACGAACAAATGAAATGATAAACAAGGTTCAAGGTATTTTAGGATTATAACAGCTACTGAATATCAGTTCGTTACATTGCCCCCAACCACTTAAGTTTTGGTCTCCAAAATTTAATTAATAAGTAGAAAAATTTTTTAAACAATAGAAACAATCTTGAGAACAAAATATCATTTCCTCTTATTATGTAACAAGCACATCTTAATGATACCGATCAAATAATATAAATATTTCATATGACAATAACATTTAGACAGTTAAAATGTACATTAAGACATAGATCTATATCAGAACTCTTAAACATATTAACTTTAACTCACAAAAGTAACAAGAAATGCTGTTAGTCCTGATTAAAGTAGTAAACATAGCAACATACATTTTAAGATTGTCTTTGGATTCTTAATCATATTCATTGCATAATGAGAAATAACTTAATACATAACAATGAATACTTACAATTATGCATAGCGTAGAACCTTATGTTTCATTAATCTATATATTTTATATTTAGATAATTTAAATGTCAAATATCATAAGAATAAAACAAACAAGACATAAAATCAACAAAGCAACAAATATTCATGACAGTGTCATTTAAGTGTCTCTTTTCACTTTATCACTCTGAATTTTAAATTAGCACAACAGTTTTCTCCAAAACACACTTTAAGTTTAACTTATTCACTATGTATATCTTTATTTTATTTAAAGTCACATCACTTTTATACACACATTTTGATTTCACATAATTTGTCATTTGGTTCATCCCAGTTTATGGGCCTTTAAAGGCACCAGATTCGCAGAAACGACACTACACTGTTCGATTTTTCCTATAACCGCATTCACTAATTCCGGCAAACAATAGAAAGACGCCTCATAATATAGTTCGTACAAATATCTCACATCATGAGGGAGAGTCCTTAGGTCACATGATCCATTTCTAAGGAAGTAAAGAATAAACCTAAAGTGGGCAGGGTCACGATCTATAAAATACTGGTTACCGTATCTTGGGGTCACTCCCTCTGGACTTACGATTCTTGCGAGTAATGAATTTGGATCTTTCGTTAATGTAACACGTGAGGTTTCAAACTTTTGTCCACCAATATTTAGTATAATTCTTTCTTTTTGGGTCTCCTCCATTAATGGTATTATATTCACATTACAATAACCCACTGAGGTATGTTCCTGATTGTTTATTTCATTTTGACACTCCCCTTGAACAACTTCTTCACATTCTTTATTTTCATTAAGTATCTGATTTTCACTGTTATTGTTTTTCACTTGATCAGCACCACTTTCAATAGGATTAACATTTCCTAAATTTGTTTCCTCACTTTTCCCATCTTTTCCTTCTTTAACCATTTTGTCATTATTATCAATTTCTTTGCTAGCTTGTTTTGTTTGTTTATTCATATTTGTTTCACTTTCGTTAACTTTCTTATCTTTCATCACTTTATTATTTATGTCTCCAACATCTTCAACTATGTTTTGTTTACTAATTTTACCTGTTATGTCAAACTTTTCATTACCGATCTCTTTAATGTTGCTGTCCTTATTATCGTTATTTTGCTCATTATTTTGGTTTAAGTTTATCGTCTTTGTATTCGTTTCTTTTTCACTTGATTTGAACTTTTTCACTGAATTTTCATTTGTCGTCTTCTTAGCCTTTTTCCTTTCATCTCTTCTGTTCACAACATGACCATCTTTCATTTCATTCCCCTCATCACCTTTATTACTAACTCTTTTACTCCTTTCTTCTCTTACCATTTCATTAACCTTAATTTTCTTCTCAACACATTTCTCTTTAACTGTATCACTATTTTTGTCTTTAACTTTTTCAACACATTTCACATCAACACTATCTTTGTCTTTTGATTTACCAGTTCCTTTCTCATTTCCTATTTCCCCATCTTTGCCTATTACTTTTTCAACAACGTTATGATTTACTTTTTCAACAATGTTAACTTTCAATTCCTTACCTTTTACACTTTTATTTTTCAATTTAGTTTTTATGTTAGTTGCTTTTGTCTCACTTTTTACTTTTGTTGTATCATTCACCGACATCTTTTCAATGACTTTCCTTTTATCAGTTTCAACCTTATTCCTGCTCATATTTATCTCTTGGCAAACTTCAACACAATCTTTTAACTCCTCTTTTCTTACTGTCTCTGTCTTATCTAAGTTTAAATCTTTGTGTTCATTACATACTTCAACTTGTGTCTTATTAACTTCTTTTTTGGATTCACTTATTTGCTTATCTACTTCTGTTTGTCTCTTGTTCATATCTTTATTTTCTTTTTTTCTTTTTCTTTGTTTCAACAAGTGCACTGTCACTATCACTATCGCTATCCGAACTAGTGTCACTAAGGGAAGTGCAAAACCTTTTCCACGATCGCCTTCTTTTCCGTGAATTGGTTACCTTTTTCTTTGGCACTACCGAGCTCTCTGAAGAACTTGTTTCACTAGAGGAATCACTTGAACTTGAGCTTGAACTTGAGGATGATGTGTCCGATGTTTCAATATTATTGTTCATTTTATGTTTGTTCGTTTCTTTGGTTTGTTTTTGAGTTTTACTTTCAGCGTCAGTATCAACAAAATCAAGTTCCTCGTCACTTATTTCTTCAAGATCCATATTTTTTATTAGAACATTTCTTTTCGGACTTTGCACGGGAGATATGGGGTTCTTAATCATTATTTTCAGGTCAGTGTCAATGTCCATACTTGTGATTTCACTGCTTTTTACACTTTCCGTTTTGTTATATTCACAGGGGGTAGGCCCATATTCAGTTTGTAACCTTCTTAATTCTGTAAGGAAACCAGATTTTACTTTTTGTACCAAATTAGGCATTTTACTCTTTTTCCATTCGGTGAGTTTAGCCGCAGCTCCCTCTCGCTCTCCCTCTGGATCCATTAAAGCAAAATCTTGGAGTTGTAAGTTATAGCACTGATTGTGATTGTAACACCTTCTTGAAAACAATTTTCTACACTTCAAACATTGATAATTAAAATGGCTGTGTTTTTCAATAACATGTCTGGATGCCAAACAGAACTTCGAAAACACCACATTGCGGCACACCACACACAACCACTAAAATGTAAAATAAAATCACTCATTTTAGGAACAATAATCTAAACAAGTGGCATACTATATATAGGTCAGATACGCATATAATTTTTGTTTCTTTTTATTTTGACTATTTATTTATTTATATATTTATAAATGCACTTTTTTATCATTCTATTGACAATGACTAATGTAGATGTGAGTTCAAGTTTTATATAACACTTTATTCGTCAGTGGTCCCTTCGTATCGTTTTAGTCGGTCATGGTGGACGACTTTCGGTTTCGAACGTTTGTTTAATTGTATGCGGTACACTACATCATTTATTTTCTTTAAGATAACATACGGGCCTGCCCAACGTTTTGAAAGTTTCGCACTTAAACCGGGCTTAACTTGCGGATTATATAACCACACGAGGTCACCTTCATTATATGACCAATATTTTAATCTTTTATCGTGAATTCGTTTTTGAGAATCACTAGCGATTGAAATATGTTTTCGCGCAAGATTATGTACAGCTTCAAGTTTTTCGGAAAGCATTATGGCATAATCGGTTTTGTTAGAACTTGTAAGCGTAGAAGGGCGTTCTAGTGCTAAATCAATTGGTAAGTCTAATTCCCTTCCAAACATTAACATACTAGGGGTAAAGCCAGTAGTTTCCTGTACTGCTGAATTATATGCCATACACAAAATTGGCAAATAGGCATCCCAATTCTTCTGATTTTCATCAACAAACTTTGTTAACATAGCTTTAATTGTTCTTTGTCCTCTTTCTACGAGACCGTCCGACTGCGGCCTAAATGCTGTAGTACGTGTTTTCTCTGATCCGAGAATTTTACACATTTCCTGGAACAAGGAAGATTCAAAGTTTCTACCTTGATCAGAATGAATTTGTTTTGGAACTCCAAACACAGAAACAAATTTTTCTATAAATTTGTTTGCTACTGTGACTGCCTCTTGATTTTTAATAGGGATTGCTACAATCCATTTTGTAAAGTAATCTACTATCGTCAAAACGTATTTGTTGCCCTCATCACTTCTTGGTAGAGGTCCCATTATATCTAAAGCTATTCTTTCTAATGGGGCACCTACATTATATTGTTTTAAAGCGGCTTTTGCCTTTCTCTGAGGGTGTTTCTGTGATACGCACACATCACAAGTTTTACACCAACGCTTTATATCATTTGTTAGTCCATACCAAAACAATCTTTGTTTCACTTTAAACTTTGTTTTTCTAACTCTCAAATGACCACCTGTGGGACTATTATGTAATTCTTTTAGAACATCAGGTACTAAAGTCTTTGGTATCACAATAAGATAGTCAGAAGTGATCCCATCATCACTCTCCCAGCGATGGTACAACACTTCGTCAATTATAAATAAAGACTCTATTCTATTCCAATAGAATTTGAGTTCGATACAACTAGGTGCGACATCTGACCATTCTGGTTTTTCATTTGTGTCTACCCAGTGTTTAACTGTTCTTATAACAGTGTCACTATTTTGTTTTTCTCGAATAATGTTCTTATTCAGGGTGGCTACAGCTTCTCTTACCGGTATATTTTCAAAGCATAAAGTATTCTTACATATGTTAGCATTATTTTCAGCTTTGCCATACGTTTCGTCTAGAATACCTTTTCGACCATTCATCTCTATATCATTACGACTCCCTAACTCTTCAGAGGTTTCGTTCTTATCAGTATGAGTTTCAATGACCTGCATATGTAAACCCTCGTTGATTTCGTCAAGAACTTCATTATCTCTGAGCGCTTCCGTGTCGGCTGCTGTTGCTTTAGAGATATTCTTTGCGCGCTTAGATGCATCTCCAAAGTCGTTTAAGCAACCGTCACCATTACTTAAACAACAATCTATCCTTTTCAAATTTGAGTTCTGACAAACGTTAACTTCATATGTTAATAACTTGTTTGTCCCCTCTACTAACGTTCTTGGGCTATCTTTAATACAGCTCTCATCTAGATTTAATTCATCTTTGAACTTTGCATACCTAGTCTCAGCTCTATCACAGTAGCTGCACCCATCTTTACAACATGGCCGTCGTGACAATGCATCTGCATTTGAATGTATACGACCGGCCCTATGCTTTATTTCAAAGTCATAAATAGACAATGTTTCTAGCCATCGGGCAACCTGCCCTTCGGGCTGTTTAAAGTTGGTAAGCCATTTCAAGGCACCATGGTCGCTCCTTACAATAAAATGGCGACCAAACAGATAATGATGATAATGTTTCACAGAGCAAATAACAGCAAGAAGTTCTCGCCGAGTTACACAGTAACGCCTTTCTTCTTTTGAAAGACATTTACTAAAGTAAGATATAACCTTTTCTTCAGCTCCTTGTACCTGTTGCAGCACCGAACCAACTCCAACAGCACTTGCATCTGTATCTAATATGAATATACCTTCAGAAATAGGATAGGACAATATTGGTGCATGGGTCAATGCATTTTTCAATTGTTCAAAAGCATTTTCACATGAATCGGACCAAATAAAATGTTCACCTTTTTCAGTTAATTTATGTAAAGGTTTTGCAATTGAGGAGAAACCTTTAACAAATTTACGGTAATAGGAGCAAAGTCCCAAGAAACTTCTTATCTCGCGAACTTTTCGTGGTGTTCTCCAATTTCTTACTTCTTCAATTTTTCTTGGATCTGTTGCCACACCATCACTACTAATCACATGACCAAGAAAATTTACTTGTTTTTGGAACAAAACACACTTTTCAGGACTAAGTTTAAGGTTAGCTTCACTCATTCTACCAAATATCTCATCAAGACTTGTCAAATGATCTTCAAATGTTTTGGAATAAGCTATGATATCATCTAGGTAAACTAAACATTGCTTCCAAGTGAGTCCAGCTAAAACTCGTTCCATCAATCTTTCAAAAGTAGCCGGTGCATTGCATAGACCAAATGGCATTACGGTAAACTGCCAGAGACCAAACCCTTGTACTGAGAATGCTGTCTTATGTTTATCTTTTTCAGACATGCCAACTTGCCAGAAGCCTGATTTGCAGTCTAGAGTACTGAACCATGCCGATCCAGATAATGCATCAAGTGTATCGTCTATCCTTGGCAAAGGTTGACTGTCTTTCACAGTGCATTCATTAAGTCTACGAAAGTCACAACAAAACCGGATATTACCATTTGGTTTGGTAACCATTACCACAGGACTACTCCATGGACTAACTGATGGTTCAATAATACCCTTTTTAGCCATATCACTGACTTCCTGTTCGGCTGCAAGTCGTTTTGCTAATGGTACTCTATATGGAGCTTGTTTAACAGGTCGGGCTTGTCCTGTTTCTATATTATGTTCTACTATATGTGTTCTACCAATGTCACCAGAATCTCTAGAAAATATATTCTGATGTTTGATCAATAATTTTCTCACTTTTTCACTTTGATCCTTTGTTAAATGTTCCGTGGCCTTCTTAAAAGTATCATTTAAATGATCAGGTATATCAGAAGGTTTGTCACTTGAAGCAGTTCCAACTGTTTCAACGTGCACAATATTTGGGGGGCTTACTGCTTCATAAAAAGCAACAACTGTGTTCTTATACACATTGCATGGTCTTGTGTCTATATTTGCAATTCTAATAGGAATATCTCCATTTTCAATATCAATTAGTGATTTTGCAATTAGCAGACCACTCCTTTCAGAAAACTGTTCATTTGGTTCTATAATACCAATAGTGTCATTAATTACTTCAGCAGGTTTACCAAATAAAATCACTTCTGTTTCAGGGGGTATAACAGTGTTTTGTTTAGCTTGTATTCGACAAGAAGTTAAGAAAGAATTCTCATCTCGATGAAAACATTATACATTTTCACCATTAAGATTTACAGTATTTTTACCTACATCTATGCGACACTGATTAGATTTGAAAAAGTCCATACCAAAAATACCATCACTCTTAATATCAGCAAGAAAGATTGGGTGGTTAAAATTCTGAGAACCAACCGATAATTTTGTACAGATTTTACCATAAAACGGAGCTGTATCACCTGTAGCAGTAGTCATGGTCATATTAACTGGTATAATTTCCGGTTTATTTACTAAAGGCAACTTATCATATAAATCTTTCCGTAAAATTGAAACATTCGAACCGGTATCAATTAACATAGAAACTTTAGTGTTGCAAATTTTCACTATTATGAAAAATCCATCATCTTTTGTCATATCTTTACTATTATCTATTGAAATCGGGTGGGACCTTTCTGTGCTTGGTCTCGAACTTCGGCCCTCAAATTCGATCCGTTTTTGTTTCCCGGGGCATAACTTTGTGGATAAGTTTGATTTTTGTCTCTTCTGTTTTGCTCATACTTATTACGACCTTGGTGATTATTTGACCAATGACCCTTGTTATCATTTCTAGAGCTTTGTATGTTTGGTTTGTAAGATGTCCGGTTTTGTGTTCGAGTTTCACCTTTGTCACGGTAATCACGAACCTGATTCATCAAGGCTTTCATCTGATAATTTAAATCATTTAATTTTCTATCAGTAGAACTTATTTCAGGAGCTACATGTCTGACATGGTTCCTCCCCCCTCTACTGTTATCTGCTTCTTTGTGTACGTCTAACCTAACGGCTATTCTTTCAGCTTCACTAATGGTTTTTGGTCCTACTTCCCTTAATCTTAACCGAATGTCGGTATCCGGCAAAGCATCAACAAAATAATCTAATGCCCACAAATCAACAACTTCTGACGAAGCACTAGGATACGCCTTTCTCGTTAGTTTTTTAACTGATTGTGCTAATTCAGGAATAGTTTCATTTCTTCCTAATATTCTGCTTTGTAGTCGAGATCTAAATATCTCCGCCTTATAAATAGAACCGTAACGATTTTGTAAAGCAGAAACGATTGAATCGAAATCACGCCGTTTTTCTATGTCTAACTCGCATAAAATAGCACATGCACCCCCTACTATACTACTTGCCAAAAATAATGACTTAGTATGGTAATTCCATTTATTAAGTTCCGCAACAATATTGAATTGCGCTAAATATTCGTCAAGGTCATCTGAACCATCATAAGTCTGTGGCTTCATTTTACTATTTGACACGTCGGACATGCCACAAGTACCTTGCGTATTTACCGGATATTGTCTGGAATAATCGCCTGTGTTACTATTTTTCTTACCAAACGGCGTAATCTGTGTCACAGAATTAGGACCATTATTATTGGTATCGTCATTATCAGGAGTACTGCTTATTGGACCATTTTCGAGACATAAATCACCTGAACTCACATCTTTATTATGCATGTCATCATATAAATTTGTTTTATTGCACGATTTAGCATGGACATTATCAATCTGCGTTTGCATATGGTCTAATTTACTTTCAAAATCAATTAAAGATTTTCTCACTTCTAACTGTACAGAATGCAAACCTTTTTGTAACTGACTATTAAAATTGTTAACTAACTTTTCAAGAGAATTTTCCTCATTACCTCCATCTCCTGCGCTAATACTATCACCGCACGGACTACACGGATTTTCGTCAATTGATTCATTATCACTCGGTAACGATTCACAGTCAACATCTTTTGATAAGCACAAATTCTCATTTTGTTGAAATGTTATAATGTCTGAGTCTTCCATTATAATAGATATTTATATTCACCACCGGTACCAGGTTTATGATAGCAATATAATTATAAATAAATACAAATGCACTTTGATAATAACACAATAGATTGCTATCCCACCGCTGCCACCAAATTTGTAACGAACCCCTTCTTCGAGCGTCGGCCTGTTAACTCTAAAAGGGGTGATACGTGAGTTCGCCTGGGCCCGGCTTGTGGCGAAAATAATAGAGAATGATTAAAGAATAAAATAACGGAGGCAATTTAAGATTTAAACTATAACTTTATTAACGGTTACATAAAATAGTCACATATAACAACATTCATCAATCAGACATAAATACAGTAACAATAAATATATTATAACGTTATTTAATCTGCATCAATAATACCAATTCACAATGCAAAACGTTATATACTGTGCACCACGGTTTTAAGAAATAATATAATTTAATATAATTCATATAGACTCTATTTATGTTGGTATATACCATACACGCTTGGTTTTAATAATTCATAAATATTTCACAAATATACCAACAAATATTATAGCACAACCGCATATTGGTATTCGATACCAATTGGTATTTTGGTATCGCGCGATTAAAATACACAGGAGATGGAGACAAGGGAAACACTTTATTTAATAAAACTTGGTTGGTATAACTTTTACCTCTTCATCGCACATTTTTTATGAATTGGTATATACCCGTTGGTATATTTTTATTTAACCCAGAGTGACCGTATGAATGCCGTCCATGTTCGACATTGTCTTGAATTTCGCGCCAGCTGCGCTTTTATATGACCTGTGACGTCATTGCTCGAGATTTAGTGGCGCGAGCTAATGGCGGTTCTGAACACGGAAGTAAATTAAAAATTCACATTCTTTTGATGATTTCATGCAATATTTACTTTTATAAACACAATTTGCTGCACAAACAGTAAGTTCTTCAACTTTATTTGCCGTGTATATGAATATTTAAGAGTTTAATACGGTTTAGTGGAAGTATTCAGCATATTACAGAGGACTCAACATTGCCGATTTTGAACACAAAATTTCCATGAATACTCCGATAAAATATCGCGGTGCACAGTAAAACATTAATCTGAAAATGAACATACATATCATAGATAGACAACAAAATGTGATTTATTATCTAAAATTAACAAATATCAACAATAGGATGATTTAGCACATTTAATAATCTGCTTTATAAAAATAGGGGGTGGGGTAACGAACAAATGAAATGATAAACAAGGTTCAAGGTATTTTAGGATTATAACAGCTACTGAATATCAGTTCGTTACAATAGAATGGTTTGATCTTGATTATAAGACAGAAAATCATAGATCAGTTTAAAATTACAAACTGAATCAGGGAACCTCAATAGCTATTCTAAAATTAGTCTAATAATATAAAATATACTTTTTAAACGTTCACACGTCCACATTATAAATTAATCTAAAGGATAATCAGAAAACAAACTTTCTAGTTTAAATTAATGTGAACCGTGCCACTTCCTATAAAAATTTGCTGTTAACACTTCATTTAACCTCTACTGAATATCTTATTCAACAAATATGACTGAGATATAAATGTTGTCCTAAATAAGAAGAGTACCAACTTTTCAGGTATTGTCAGTAGTGTGTGTTCAGTGTTCATGATATTATTATGATATTATTGATGCGTTCAATTGAAATTAAAATTTCATCATTTCCCTATGTTTTTGCATATTCATGACGTATATATTAATTTGAAAACAAATAAGTAAGTGTAAGGTACGCTTACCGAAATTTAGAAATATAACTTGAATTGTTACCTAGATGTAGATGAAAGCAGTTGTACTTCTTCCGAGGATCTTTTTTATTAACTTCTTGTTATTACTTTGATTTTGAAACTGTCATACGAAACACATTTGACTATGCTATACTTTTGAAAAATAGCAAAGCAAAATAAATCGACGTTTTATAATCAAAATAATGCGTAACTTTTACATCCTAAAATATGATAAACAAGATCAATAAGGAATGGCGGCGTTCTATAAACGCAACTCCCACACGATTCAGCAATAAGAACCAGTGGCAAGCAGCCCAGGTGGATCCCAAACAAAAAGAGGACAGGTCACAAGGCAGAGCAAGGACAATCTTATCACTAAAAGGATAAATAATTTGTAACCGATAAGAAATTCAAAGAAAACAAATAAATGATTGAATAATAGGAAATAATTTGTAACTGATAAGGAATTCAACGAAAACAAATAAATGATTGAATAATAGGCCCACAAAGTCGAAGGGGAAGTGAACAGGAGACCCGGGGAAGGAGGGGGGCGGTAAATCAAAGAAAGAAGACTAGAGGCAAAGGGGTAGATACGTACCGTAAACAAGAAAACAACAAGGGACACAAGCAAAAGCGTCATCAAAACAGTATGAAACAACATCGACGTACATTTGAGGAACACAGAGGGGCGCCGCCTTGGAACGGTCAGCAGCACAAGTACTGCTAGGGAGTTTAAACCGGCTAATTGTGCACAAAACCTTACTCTTAGCCCCACCATGTTCCTATAAACGAAACAGTGTAAAAATGACTCCCCGCCAAGCCAAGTGAAAACTAATAATTAGCAAACTCGAAACTCACTCACATGCATAAAATCTTTATTATTGTTATCTTTATTCGAGTGTTTTACAGAGAATGGTTGATATCACTGATATCACCTTTTTGTTAACATTTTAATATTTTTGACACAAAAATTAGTCCTATTTTACTTTATGGATCAGAAATATGGAGTATACACAAGTTAGTACAGCCAGAGTTAGTGCATAACCTTGCATGTAAAAGATATTTATGTGTGAAAGAAAAAACAATTAATGCAGGTGTCCTAGGTGACTGTGGGAGATTTCCTATGTTTATAAATTCTGCTAAAAGTGCTGTAAGATATTGGTGTAAAATACTTAAAATTGGTGAACACAGATTAGTTAAAAATTATAAAATTTGTTTATCAAATTGTAATTTTATGAGTGAAGTTGTTAACTTACCATACGGAAAATACATTAGGATTTAGTTCTCCTCAACCATTACAGTAACACGCAAAACTTAATGAGCGTCTAGATGATCATGATCAAACAGGAAATCAGTATCACAAGACGCTATTAACCTCAGTTAAATATATTTAGGCGACATTGCAGTCCCTAATAGAAAATACTGGGGAGGAGGGTGGGTAGTTGTATGGTAAGTTAACAACTTCACTCATAAAATTACAATTTGATAAACAAATTTTATAATTTCATTTCGTTCCGTTGTTAACTTACCATACGGAAAATACATTAGGATAGATTACAAAGCTTACCTCAAAGCTGGAGGTGGGTGTATTTTCTTCCTAATCTATATCTTGTGTCTAGAAACATCTTTAACACACATGATCCTTCAAAAACGTAATGGACTATCTGGTCTAATTATCACAAATACCCTCTATATACATGTTCAATAATACTTCCAAAGTATATTGAAGAGTGTCATTAAAATACAAAATAGAGATTTTCTATCTCTCAGCAACACGCAGAAGATTTTAACATTCCTCTGGAAAATAACGTATCTACATTAAAACACTGGGATCAATTCTTCTCAGATAAAAACGAATAAATGTGGATTCATTTTTCCAATCTGCTGCTTCCAGAATTGATAATAAACTAGCACCTTTAAATAAGGCCCAAGAGGGACCTATTGCCCTAGTAGAATGAGCTGTCACTTTAATTGACGTATTGTATGCCATCTGAATAGTTTGAACAATCCATTTTGCTAAAGTCTGTTTAGAAACTGCTTTGTGTGGTTTCACATAAGAAATGAATAAACTAGTTTCATCTTGAAGTTTAGATCGTCGTATAGATTCAGTTTTCTTCAAATAAATAGCAATAGCTCTCTTTGGATCTAACTTTTTGTCATCTTTGAAAGCTGGAACCCAAATATTTCTTCCCATGTGTGATGGCCTGTCCTGCTTGGACAAACCTTGCCTTAAAAACATTATTCCCTCACTATGTACAGTCACATTACCCTCTCCTAATCTTAACGACTGGAGGTCCGAGCATCGTCTGAACGTTGTAATGGCTGTAAGAAAAACAGTTTTTAAGGTTAGACATTTCAATGAAGTTTTATGTAAAGGTTCAAAAGGACTAAGTTTCAGCATTTTGAGGACTTTTCCTAAATCCCATTCAGGTGCCAATTTAGAAACAGGCGGTCTTAAGTTAAAAACCCCTTTGAGTAATCTAATAATATATGGATGCTGTCCAATCAGAATATTATCAACAGGAGGTAGTGCAGCCGAGAGCATTGAGCGATAACCAGCAATTGTTCTGTATTGCAAGCCTTCATGAAATAAGAAAGTTAAGAATTCAGCACAATCAATTAAAGATGCAGTAAAGGGATCTTTATTCCTTGTACTACACCAGCTACGGAATTTTCTAAATTTACATCCATAATCTTTTTGAGTTCCAATTCTCCATGAGGCTGTGAGTAATTTTCTAACTCCCTTAGAAAAACCTTTTGTTTTGAAATTTCTGTTGAGAGCAACCAAGCTGTCAGTTTGAAAATTTCTGGAGATGGATGATATATTTTTGTTTTTGGTTGAACCAACATTTCCCTGAGAACCGGAAGACGAACCGGTGGTGCAATCAGATACTGAAGTAGAGTTGTGTACCAGTGACGACGTGGCCACTGAGGTGCTATTAAAATTATTTGACAATTGAACTGAGACATGTGTTGTAGAACTTTTGGAATTAGGCAAATGGGAGGAAACGCATATGCTATCATTCTCTCCCATGACACTGACAGAGCATCTATTGCTAATGCTTGACTGTTTTGATACCATGAGCAAAATATTGGGACTTTGTGGTTGTGAACTGAGGCAAACAAGTCTATCATCGGTGTACCCCAACGTCTGAACAACATTTGAACTATTTGATTGTTCAATGTCCATTCCGATGGACGAATTTTGACCCTCGACAAGTGATCTGCTAACAAATTCA